TTCTCGTCGTCACTGCAAGAGATGGGGAGACAGAGCAGTACTGAGTGTGGCCTGGGGGACGCCGGCCCCCGTGACCCAGCCCAGAGGGACCCGCGTGGTCAATGTCCCTGGGCCGGGCTTGCAGGCAGCAAGCTTGTCCGTGGGGCTCGTCCACTGCCTCTGTCCCAGCCAGCACTTACGGGAGGTGGTCCAGGGTGTCCGTGCTGGCCCGTGGCCGAACCAGCACACGGTTCACCTCGCTGTGTAGCCCGTCGAGGAGGAACCGCAGGAACTCCTGTGCATCCTGCTGGCTGCAAGACATGGGGCATGGCCAGTGAGCAGTGGCAGGGGCTCAGCTCCCCCCTGCCACCCCCGCACTGACACCCCTTACTTGTAGCCAACGAAGCGGGGGGCATATCTCTGGATCTGCGTCTTGAACTCGGAGGGGCTCACACTGTCGTTGGGGGACGAGGTCCAGAGCAGCTGAATCAGCTTTGCAAACTCTGCGGGCAGAGAAGCAGGTCAGCAGCACAGCTGGCCCCGGCCAGCCCTGCTGGCATGGCACTGCTGTGCCCTCCAGGGGACAGCTCAGCACCCCACTCCGGAGTCCCCGTGGCTGGCCCCGGCCCCTCTGGAGAGCGGACCCGATCAGCCCACCGGCTGGGCACCCACAGCACAGTGCCTGCCCCAGCTAGGCTGGGGAGAAGCACAAAATTCTGGGTGGGGGTCCCCCAGGACATGGGGTGGCCCAGGGGAGAAAGGACGTGCTGCAGGGACGTGCTGCAGGGAAGCCCCACAGGGTGCACAGCCAGGGACTGGTGACTGACGGTTACCTGACATGAGGGCGGTGCGCATACGGCTGTTGTTGTTGAGGTCCCGCAGGTACTGGTTCTGCAGGCAGTAATCCCGCAGCTCCTTGGTGTTGCTCAGGCACTGCAGGATGGAGTTCATGAAGCACTGGGGGAGGCAGAAGAGAAAACCATGGCAACGGGAGGCAGAGGGAGGCAGGCGGTGGCAGGGGGACACCTGGGGCGGGTGGGCAGAGGATAGGGATGAAGCAGTGCAGAGCACGGGAACCCCTTCCTCAGCCAGCAGCGTCGGGAGAGGGGTGCAGGGGGCCACGAAGCAGTGCAGAGCACGGGAACCCCTTCCTCAGCCAGCACCGTCGGGAGTGGGGTGCAGGGAGCCACTGGGGCAAGAGTGTGGGTGCTGGGGACAAGGTGAAGGGACAGGGCTCCCCACTGCCCCACAGATGTGCCCACAGAAGAGCACAGTATGAGCTGGGGCTGCGCAGCCAGGTGCCTGGGTAAGCACTCACCGTATTGCCGAGGTTTCGCAGGCCGGTCAGCCCCTGCACCGCCTTGGAGCTCTGCAGAGAGAGGGAACAGGGCAGAGACAGTGCCCAGCACAGGCTGGCCGTGCCTGTGGGCAGCCCAGTGAGGCCATGGTGCCACGGTCATCCACGTGGAGCAGACCTTCAAGTGCAAGCAGAGGCCCCATCCCCCTGTGGGCATTATGGGCAGAGCCAGCACCGCTGCGGCTCTCTGCACCGGTTGCACGCAGGACCGTGGCCGAGGACCTGGCAGGAAGCCATGGCTGGCCTGGCTGCTGCTGCTCAGCTCCCTGGCCCAGGACAACGCGCAGGGCTCAAAGTTCTCCCTGCCTGGCGACACTGCTACCCCGTGCCTGGGGCTGCAGGCCAGGCCAGCCACCCCTGCTGCCTCCCCTTGCCAGCCCGGTGCCCCAGGAAACTGGGGGGTGGCAGTGCCCCATGCCTGCCCCATGGCTGCAGGAGGTGCACAGTGCCCCGCCGCTGCCCACCTTGTCCACACTGGGGATCCCGCCCCATGGCTGCAGGAGGTGCACAGTGCCCCGCCGCTGCCCACCTTGTCCACACTGGGTATCCCCTCCAGGACACCCTGCGTCAGCGCAGCCCAGACTTTGGTACAGCTGTTTTGCAGAATAAAGTCCACCTGGGAAAGTGCAAGCCCAGCCCTGCGGCAGTCAGCCCAGGAAAGGGGGCTGCACACCCAGCGGTGCCCTCCCAACCGCTCGCTGGCCTGGCTGTGCTGCACCTGTGCCATGGGGATCTTCCAGGGCCCCAGGTACTCCCTGAGCCGGGCAGGCTCACGCCAAGCAGAGATGGGCATGGGCAACTGGGCGCTGGGGCCAGGAGGCATCGCCACTCTTTGCTAGAGAGACCGAGAGCACGGAGGGGTCTGGGGAGCCACAGGGTTGCCCACACCTCTCCCAGCATGGGGGACCGGGTACTAGTGTGGACAAGTGGTGGGAGCCCAAGGGTCCTGCTCCCAGCTCTGCATGCGAGCCTGGCGTAGAGGGCAGCGGTGGGGCGAACCTCCCCGGAGCCATGCCCGGAGCAGGGTGGGGGGCCGACAGGACTTGCGGGGTCAGACTGCTGATCATGCCTCCCCAGCCTGACCAGGTTTTAAGGATCCTCAGGCAAACACCCCAGCTACCCACCCCAGGCATGAGGAGGGGGAGGAGGAGAGGAGGGGAGGGGGCCCAGCTGCTCCAAAATAGCAGCAGCTGGTGTGCGTGTGGGAGGTGCTGAGCACCCAGCCCTGACAGCAGCCAAAAATAACCCAGATCCAGTTACACGTGCTCCTTAGCGACGGTGCAGGCATCACCCACCGCAGGGGGGACCAGCACCAGCCAGGGCTTGGCCACCCTGTGCGGGTGCATGTGGCTCTGCCGGACCGACTGGGTACCCTGTGTGCCATGCCAGTGCCCCCTCAGTGCCCAGCGCACCGGGGTGTCCCCAGCCGTGGCCGGCCACAGCACTCAGTGCTGGGGGGGGTGGCTGTGCAAAAGTGCAAGGCAACCCCACCGCTTATCCCCAGGTGGGGACTCCCAGGCCAGGGGACAGGCTCAGCCGGGCAAGGGGTGCCAGCAGGCTGTGGCAGGTCAGTGCCACACCGCGGCTGGAGGAGCCGGCCTGGCTCTGGTCCCTGAGCAGACGGGGCCAAACAGGCAGCAGGAGAGGTGGGTCTGTGTCCCAACAGTCTACATCCCTTGAAGGGGCTGACCCCCCAAGGGCTTGCTGCTCGTGTCCCCACGCCTATTGCAGGGAAGGTCACGGTGCCAGCGGGGGTAGCAGCAACTCCTGGGAGCTGCCCCAGTGTGCCCCAGCCATCCCCACCAGGATGCTGCTCACCCACTTGCCCTGGTTCGGCAGCTCCCACTGTGTGCCAGGAGGGACCGGAGGGTCCCGCCAATGTGGGTGCAAACCCCCCCACGGACCTGGCATTCGGCAACTGCCC